GGGGGGAGAGGGTAGCCGACGTTGCATAGCGTTGGCAGTAAAATGTTATCGCCTACGGAAAAATGAACGGCACAACGGGGAGGGGGAGGAGTTGATGGCTGTTGGGAAACGTGGGGAACGGTTGTGGGGAAACGTGGAGAATGTCAAAGGGTTCAAACTAGGTTGACTATTGCTATTTTTTTAAATAGCCACGTCTGTTGATCTGGACGTGCACGGGAAAATCTTTGTAAGTGTGAACCAGGATGCTATTTAAGTCATGGGCGGGTTAGGACGGGAGAACCTTTGTTTTTTTAAATAGCCACGTCTGTTGATCTAGAGATGCACGGGAAAGTCTTTGTATATGTGAACCAGGATTTGAGTGACTTGACTGTATGCACGTGTGTGTGTTCCGCAGGGTGCAATTGGAGCGCCGGGATGGTCCGTGAATGGACACCAGATTGCTTACATCACCAAGGGCAGTGGACGATTTCAAATTGCACATCCTGACGGGAGTAACGCTCTCGACGCACAAGTGCGTGCCGGCTCAGTGATCGTGATTCCGCATTTTCACCCAGCCGTCGTGGTACGTCTCCCCATCTTTTCCTTGCGACTACTGGAAAACCACCCATGTGTGCGAGGTATCGCACAAGGCACATCAGACGTTGTGTGGGGGCGAACCTGGAACGAAGGGAATGTGGGAACACGGACACCGTTCTGGGAAGGCCGGAAGGCGATGGCGAAAATAAGGAGTTAGAGATTGGTAGTTGTGGAGGTATGCGGAGCAGCAGGGAGAGAAAATGGATCAAATTCACTCTTACGGAGAATATATTTCCATAGAGAACCGATTTGATCATGAAGGGGGCGATCGGGCCGTGTATGAGTTTAGTGTGATATCTGGGGAGGGGGTATGGAGCCTATGAAACGCGTACACCACCGGGCGCCCCCTTCATGGTCACAATTCGTTCTCCATACAAATTGTGACCATGAAGGGGAGTTAGTGTGATACCAGGGGAGGGGATATGGATACCTGCGGAAATATGTCTACAGAAAATGAATCTAGAGTCTTCACCATGAAAGGGGTGTTGGGGTGGTGTATGAATTGAGTGCGATTCGAGGGGGTGGGTATAATCTCATTCCTGCATGGTAGTTACGGGCACCGGCTTGGCGAAAAGTACTTACCCTCGGTGGTTTGCAATGTGCATGAGTTCGTTGCAGGCCTGTTTGGTAGTCTTCTTGCGGTCTTGCGTGGATGTATTAACTGTACCTGATCGTGTCATTTGTGCTTTGCTCTGTTGTGCGCAGCTGGCTTCTAAAGAAGAAGAGCTTGAGTACGTGTTCGTGGTTACATCTTCGCTGCCAATGTGGGTGCACATGGCTGGCAAGAACTCCGTGTTTCAGAATATGCCTGCGACGGTGGTGAAGGAAGCGTTCAACATTCCCCAGGACCTCTTGGAGAAGCTGCGGCACCGCAGAACCTCACACTCTATCATACTACCACCGGCCGGCACTTCTGGGAAGAAGCACCACGAGCGAGAGGAGCATGAGAACTTGCGGCCGTTCGTGTGAACGTTGACGGACCTGAGGAAGCACCGCGCCATGGCAGAATGGAGAGAAAGAGTCGGGACATGTTTGACATTGTTTGTGACTGGCCGCTGATAATGTTTTGGGATGTAACGTCATAGCGGAGCAGAAGAAGCCGTTGGAGGACCAGGCCAGATATACAATGAGACACTGCCAGGGAATCTCAAGAGACTATGCTTGGTCCAGTTGGGAATGACGTGTGCAGTGTGCAGTGCTGCAATCCCTGTTTTTCCCCCTCGTGCTTAGATGATGAAAAGTTTCAGGTGAAGAAGAAATGTATGATCTGATGGAGTTCGTGCAGTGGTGGTCCTAGTAAAGGTGATCGAGTTCGGTCCTCTTTGATGTGTTGCATGCGGCTAGAACGCAGGCTCACAGGGATGCTGGTCATTAGATGTGGTTGGTGATTTGCTGCTGAGAGAAGCTATGGCGTGCTTCCAGTGATGTGTGAATGCCTGTCAATTTTAGAGTCCTGGTAGTGAAGTGTATAGTAAATCGGAGGGATGCTGGTCATTAGATGTGGTTGCTGCTGAGAGAAGCTATGGCGTCCCTCCAGTGATGTGTGAATGCCTGTCGATTTCAGAGTCGGTAGTAGGGAAATGTATAGTAAATCAAGTCTCGGTGGCGCTGTTAGAGGTGATAGCCGGTCACGTGGTCGAGGCCATATCAGGTCGGGGGAATCTGTATCATGGTGGTTCGTGATCGCCCACGTCTGTTTAGGTGTCGTCACCTCTGTGGTTGTCAATTTCTGTTTAGTTTTCGTCAACTCTTGTTGCTTTATTTTTGTGTTAGGTGGGTCATCCCGTTGCGTTATCCTTGTGGAGGATTTCGGTTGAATTCGTGTGGCTCCGTGTTAGAGTTTCATCCAGAATTTCAGGTCACCAGGTCCATGTTAGCAAGGTGTTTTTTTCTTTTTTTCTTTTTTGTGAAAATGTAGAACTCTGTAAGCCCGCAATCGAGGAGGTGGTAAGAGCACCATCTCGATAGGTTGTCGCGGGAGTGATCGACTTTGGCGGGGTTGATGTCAGCTCTCAGCGAATCACTTCCCATGGAGTATTTCTCGTAGGGACGAGAGCGTTCCCCTTGATTTTAGTGTATTTGCATGGCTGATATTGTGTGTAAGGACACTAGTGACAGGCGGACTCTGGTTGAAACACGTCAGGCGAGTCTGGTGGTAGAAACGTGTCAGGCAGGCTTGCACTGGTAGCAACATAGTCAAGCAGCCACGTGGGAGACGTAGTGTACGGTACTGTAGGGTAGTTTGTTTCGGGCCCCGGCGATGTGATAGTGAAAAGACACGTGGATGATTCTTTGATGCACAGCTCATATTCCCCATGACTTTATGACCCACAGATGTGTTGAGCGCTATCTTGTATCATTGTAATTGGAATTACTGCGTGTTTATCGTTACCGGTTTTGCTCTTGCCAATAGGTGATTCTATTCTCTCTCTCTCTCTCTCTCTCTCTCTCTTCAGGGGGGGGGTTGACGCCGAATTTGACGGTGATGGCTGGGATCCGTGTTGTTGTTTGTGTGATATTACAGTGATAATGTACTCTGGTGAGTCTCGTCGTGTTGGTGTGTGCTTTCTGTGATCTGTCTGTGCGTGTATTATCTCAGAGTTGTCGTGGGAGCGGGGTGATTTCGGAAATACGTATGATGGAAACAGGGACGAGTTTGGGATACATTCGAGTGTCGTTAATTATTTGACGGCCTCGTGTAACACCTTCATGGAGGAAAAAATGGCGATGTGGTGAAAAAAACGATGTAACAAAAGTAGTGTGAACCATGATCACTTCCGTGGACAGACCCTAATTGTTATATGAAGTGACTATAAGCATGTTAGCGGTTTATGTTGCCTCTGGCTGCGTAATGCTCTTGCTGTTTGGACGTAGCAGTATTGCCTGAAGGATGTCCCACTGAGACGGTGCCCCGTTACATCATCAGAATTATGGCAGAATGCACACTGCGATTCTGATAGAAGGGATGGGAAATGTACTGGTGGTTTAATGATGCTCGTGCGTGTGCATTGAGTACAAGTACAGAAGAGGAGGGAGGAATTAAAGGGGTCCCTTGGTCTTGACCGGGGACATTTCCTGACCGGCCTTGACTGACCAGGTCGGACGGGCCTGGTCCTGAACTGACCGAAACACGCCAAAAAATCTTGGGCGCCTAAATGTAGGTGAAAAAAAAACGGAGGGCTTGTAGATCTTCCCCCGTTCTGTTTTGGCACTGAAGTTTAAGAAAAAATGGAAAGCAAAAAAACAGGAAACCGAAAGGAAAAACGGTAGTAGACAGACACAGACAGAGAGAGAGAGAGACAGACAGAGACAGAGAGAGAGAGAGAGAGAGAGTCCCTCTTCCCCAGAGAACGACGCACACTCGGTTCATTTTATTTTGACAGCCCTGTTAAAAAAAAAATGGAACGAGTGTGTTGTTCTCTGGGGAAGAGGGTCTCTCTCTCTCTGTCTCTCTCTCTCACACACACACACACACACACACACACGCACACACAATTTGACACGAACACGATAGAGTGTTTGGTGGTCGACGCTCGTTGGTCATCATTGCACGTTGAAGACCATGACTGCACTCGAGTACACGACATTCGAGATGTATGTGGCTGCATTGTTGTCCAGTGCATTTAAATTGTCTTTTGAATGTGGGGCCCATGTCGAGGCCCGGTTTTGAATGCTGATTAGTGGAGTGAGGTCCATTATCCATAGCCAGGCTAAGCCAGCCGCTAGCAGATGCAGTGGCTCCCATTTTCCAAAACCGTTAAACCGATACCATCACCTGTTTTTTTAATGCTAAATTACTATCGCGGGAGGGAGTCCCGGGGACTCCTGGCCCCACGGATATTTGTAGTAGGGAAGTGCAGGGGCTAATAAACAGTACTGCGATTCAGGTTACGGCCATGGAGGGAAAGTGACCAACAACGTAGAGGGAGAGTAAGGTAGAAAAATCCTAGACTCAAGCTCGTCGTGAAAGGGGATCACTGGGAATAGCCAGCCCTTGGTTGAACCCCGACCGTGTCGCTGATACGCAGCTGAACGGAATACTCGTGAATGTGAGATGCTGGTGGGAAGGCAGTTAGCGAACACTAAGGTGACCTCTTTCTGTCTGAGGAATGTAACACAGTAAAAGAACCAGGTTACCTGTTTTCTGTGCTGGGCGTTAAACAGGGAGAAGCGTTTCGAAAGGTGCAGTCGGACCACCACGAAGGAGACGTTCAACAGGGAGGAGTGAAGAGTGCATAGACTACCAAAAAGGAGATGTTCCAGAGGGACAGTAGGACTACCACAAAGGGGTTAACAGGCACACGTCAGGGTGGACGAGGGGTAAGAGCATTTACTCTCCAGTGGTCACTGTAGAGGAGGGTAAAGTGCTTTATCCCAGTCCGGGTTTAGAAGTGTTTCGTCAGATGATTCGTGTTGGTTGATGGCTCTGTTGGTCCTTTTATGTTATGGATGTATATGATCTGCTTTGCACCGTACAGATTTTGCTTTCCGTCCAATTGGGCAATGCCATGAGAAATAGATGCAAAAAGGTGGGACAGCAGACCTTGGTAGTGGCGTTACTTCCGCTAGTCCCCCCCCCCCCCCCCSSCCCCCCSSCCGGGCCGGCCCCAATCCCATAACAAAGCTTTAAAAGGGATGCAGGTGACCATGGACCCAGCCATGCGTCCCTTTTTTTTTTCAACTGAATATTTTCCCCGTGCCGCCGCACACTGCGGGTCCACTCGTGTGCCAAATGTGTGGAGTTTTCTGCATATGCGTCTGCTTGTATGTATGCTTTGCACTACCGTAGGTCCGTAGTAGTTGAAAGGAGCCATCGATCTATAAGCCAGCTTGAGCCGTCAACCAATAGGGCTAGCGCAGTTGGTAACTTGGTACACCGCTGAACTGGATTCTAGTTTGAATCCGCCTATCAGAAAATAATATGCACATTGCACACTACATGCAAATATGTACTATACAATAACAGTAATATGCACACTATATGCAAATATATACTATACAATAACAGTATATGATAAAGTTATACACAATAAATTGTATAAATTTAACATCATAATTTATAGAAATATGATATTTTTGAAATAGATTAGTCCATGGTGTTGTAGAGGCCAGTCACTGAGTACATAGTGATCACCTGGAGCAGTTGGCTTTGGGTGTCCTGGAATATGAGACCACCTCCCATCCCATCCTCAGGTCGATACTCCTAGCGCACCCCCTATTCCACTATCCTACCTCTGTCACTCTCTGTGTGACCAGCACTCAGGACCATTACCCTACCAATGGGCAGGTAACGTACTGAACAGCAGCAGTGATAGGCTCCAACAAACAAATAAAAGTGATAAAAAGTCAGACTAAATAAAAGTGATAAAAAGTCAGACTAAGTTCACAAATTTTGACAAAAGAGTAGATAAAAAGTCAGACCAAGTTCACAAATTTTGACAAAGGAGTACTGAATAAAACAGTAGTAGCTAAAAAAGCACCACAAATTCTATGAAAAATAGAGAAAGTAGAAGTTAATTGTGGCTTATAAATAGTGATAATATGAGGTGATAATGGTCGATTGATTTTCATGTCAATTTACTCTTATTTTGACTCAAGGTGACACGATTTCGAACCTATGACCCTCTGTACCCAAAACAGATGCGCTACCAGACTGCGCTACACCTTGTTATGTTCGATTGGTAATTCAACTAGCTGACTAACTAAGATTGGATTGACTGGAACTGGTAAACTCATTGTTGTAGCCTTGTAGGTTCAAATCCTACATTCCAGAAATTAAGCCATAATAAGTTTCATCCATAAGTCGCTCAGGCCAGTCCGAGTTCCACCTGGCCTTGGGTAAGCTAGGGCCCCAGGGAAGGAAAGTAAGACTGCTTCAATGGGTGCGACCCTGTCTGAAACCTAGGTTGCGCAGCCCTGGTGGAAGCGGAATTGGACGGGCCTTGTCGGCCCCAAGAGACTCTAGGCCCTAGGTTTCAGACAGGGTAGCACCCATTGAAGCAGTCTTACTGTCCTTCCCCTGGGCCCTAGCTTACCCAAGGCCAGGTGCAACTCGGACTGGCCTGAGCGACTTATACCCCTACCCTTACCCCAGGGTCTAAGCCTTATGTATAGCCACTAGACAGTTCTATCCAAATATCAGTAGGAACTCCGGTGGCCCATAATTGTCCCTACTCCAGATACTAGACCCCACCCAGTGACTAGACCCCCCCAGTCTGATGGTTGTGTCGTTCACAATGTATGTGGATACCCGAAGTCTGTGTATTCTCTGTGTATCTATGTATCAAGATGTACAGACAGCTCTGTGTGTGGAAACTTGTGGATTTTTCTACTTCGCTTGTTATGTCGTTTGCTACTTTGTGAGATGAGAAAAGGTTGAAGGCGAGTAATGAGATCTGAACTAGATCTGAACTTATGTTAAGCGTGACCACTTTGCCACACCAGTGTAGGGCCGCGTACTGGTTGTGAAGTGGTTGCACTTACCGTCTTACCGGTAAGCTCCGTAAGGTCTTTGTTACAAGGGCTTAAGCCCTTAACCGGCACTTGTTTTGAATAAAGGCGGGAGAAGTCCAACAGAATATCTTGTGATGCAGCAATGTTGCTTCAATGCTACATGATATAATGAAGCAATGGCTTGCCTATGGAGATTGAACTAAAGATGCGACTTATCTTAGCGGGGAGCGTAATCTTACCCCTAAATAAATCTGTGGAGGGTATGGACTGAAACATTGGCGGACTTTGAAGGGTAGCAAGATGTGCTGAGGTTGTGGTGTAAAGGATGCATGATCCCCGGTGATCAAAGAACAGCTTAAGGGCCAGATCCCACTGGCAAAGAGGATTGGACTAAGTGTGTGAATCTGGACGTCTTCCACACACATGCAGAGGAGTAGATCAACCGCAATTTTTTGCACGTGTCCTCAAACACTGTCCACATTCAGACACTTACTACAATCCTCTTCGCCAGTGGGATTTGGCCCTAAGTGCATGGAAAATGTCTTAGGATGGGGATCATGGGGGAAAGGGCTAGACCCTAGCGGACACTGGACAGGCCCTGGCGGGTTGTGAGGCCGGGCAGAAAATGTCAACTGGGACAACGCTAGGGTCCCAGGGGGGTTGTGTGTGTTTGGGGGGGGGGGGGCGGGCAAAATAAATCACTGAGGAATTATGGGAAGGTGTGCACAAGGAGGGGAGAGGATGAAACGACTTGGAGAGCACTCTTGTCAAGTCAAGAACACTCGGTTCAGGAGCAGTCGGCTCTGCAGCAGTAGTCTCCTCCAGGAACACTTCGCTGCTCTGGAGCTGTTGAGTGCAGCACATTTTCTAATGACCAAATTTCTACACGGGGTCCTGCTGTTCTCTCGCAGAGTTGTGCA